AAACAGACACTTATCATTCAATGTACTTGGTTCTTAAATTCTTTTTTTGGTAAGAATTCTGTTGCAGCATAAGGTAGACTTGACCTCATGAGCAGGATTACAGTATCTGAGGATGAAAATAAGCTTCCTTTTTTGTGGCATCTGGGAGCTGTAATTTTCCATGTACCGTAGCTATAAAACATGAAAGAGAAAGACGGGACCCAAAAAAGAATAATGACCTGTGCAGGTGGCAGTAAGAGCACTTACAAGCAAAACACCATGTAGCCTTCACATCTACAAACCCAAAATGCTTTTAGTCATTTTGTAGCCGATAACTAAACAGTACCTGACACTGTAACACGTAGGTGACACCAGCATGATAAAACTTCCTTTTTGAAAAGTAGAATATCAACATATATGAAATATGTAAGGTTCAAGACTGATTTTCTGATATAAAACATACTCAAATTTTTTCTTTTTTTTAGAAGCATGAAAAAACCTCAAGCTATGGCCCATTGCACTGCCTATTCAAGCACTCCATCTTCTATGACATTAATAAAGTGAGGGCTGTGAAAGCATATTATTGTCCTCACATAGAAGGAAAAAAAGAGCCACATCTGAGCCATAGGCTGTCTCTTAAACAGAGAAGAGGAAAATCGAGTGAACCTATTCAAAAGTCATGGAGTGTAAAGCTATTCGTTTGAAAAGTGAAAAGAAAAAAAGCATTCAGCTGGCAAGGAGTATGCTTTAAGTTGCAAAAAAAAATAAAGAAGCAGGGTCTAAATGTTAAAAGTATAGAGGACGATCTTTTATTTCTGTGTGGATCATCTAAATAATTGATCCTCTTAATTGTCTATCATTCTGGTGATATCTTTATGTAAGGCCATCATACATGCTTGCCCCATTATCTTTTTTTGCGTATGTGCAATTCAGGCATATGTGTGGTGAGCTACGGTTTCAGCCAGTCATTGAAGCAAGCCTTTCTCACCACGTTCCTTTGAAAATGGCCCAGGGTGATAAGAGAAAAGGTGTCTATGAAGTGTATTAGAAGAACAGAAATGCATCAGAAGAGGCAGTTATGTGCGGAGAGCTCTCCTCGCAAGGCATTATGGGATTTTCTGTCTCAGCGGCCCGCTGTCAGGTACTAATAACAAAGACGGTGCAGGCACAGCACAGTGGAGGAGGAGTTAAGAGACCTACGGGGGAGCAAAAAGTAGTGATCTTCTTTTCGAACGGTAAGTTAAATGATTTTGCTAAAAAAAACAACAACAACAAAAAAAAAAACACTATATAGTCCCTGCTCTATATAGTGATTAAAGGATTTAGGGGTTAGGGTGGACTTTCAGACACAGTAAGCTTGTGTGAGCTATGAGAACAACAACTTTAAAACATAGCGTGCACCAGGAGAAATAGGCTTGTGCGTGCTCTCCCACACATTTAATAGGCGTTCCCTCTCGGGAGCAGGTACAGGGATGTGCATGAGCAATTTTTTTTTTTTAAGTGGAAAGGGCAGGTCTCTTAGAAAATTGGCGAAAATCCTCCACAATACCTTTAACTTAAAAAAAGGGTTGAACGGTTTGATTAAAACAACAAAAAAACTAAAAGGTGTGTTTCAAAATTGTTACCTTGATCTTCAAACCTACTGAGTTTCATTACTCTGAACCCTTAATCTTTACTCAAATGGTAGTGAGGTTCCAGTTGGTCTTAGACAGAATTAAAAAATAGTAACATTTTGTGGAAATATGATGTTCTTAAACACCACAACTTGCAGTAAATCTGCCTATTGAAAAAGCTCTGAAAAGGTTAAAAAAAATCTGGGATTTTCTGTGATTAAACCATATTTTTATATGGATGTCCCACCAAAACTCCAAAGAATTAAGTATAATAAACGTTTAATATATTTAAAGAAACCCAAAGTCTGTGATGACTGAGGCTAACATTAATTATCCCTCCATTTTTTTTAGGGAGGAGCTTAAAAAATCTACCTTGCTTCTTAGCAAAGGTTCCTGCACTGGAGGTGCACCCTAGGAAGATGCGTGACATGTCGTCAGCTGTTGACTGCCTCTGTTTTAGAATCGTCACACTTCATTTCAATTTGATTGGTTTCATGGTTTCATCTCTGCTCTTTGCAGGGATGTGCTCCGAGGAAAATAAAGAACAGATGTATGACGAAGTGCAGAAAGTGGCGTGATTGTGATGGGTCTCATTAATGTTAATCCTTCCAGTACTTTAGGCTCATTAATTCAGGCATGCCCACTCAGCAGATGACTCACTTGCTGTCGATAAAAAACACTGGGTAAAGCTGGAGAACTCATTCATTTAGGATTATCACTTTGCCAATTCCTGTTTTTCCTACTTAGCTAAGGCTGAACACAATGAATATATATCTAACTGGATATGTATGTCTATCGATTACAAAGATAGAAGGAGAGGCAGGCATGTGTAATTATAACTTCTCAATGTACAACAAAGTCCTGCAGCGCTGACGACAGCTGCTAAACCCAAGAAAAAATCAACATTTTAGTTTATCAGCCAATAAAGTACAGTTCTGAAGGAAGGAAGGAAGGAAGGAAGGAAGGAAGGAAGGAAGGAAGGAAGGAAGGAAGGGTTATCGGCTCTTTGTTAAACCGTCTCATAAAAAATCCAATTGGAATACATTAAAGCTTTTGCTGAGACCAAAATGTGGCCAAAGAACCATGCTAATTGATGTCAGTACAACACTCCTGAGATAATGATAAAGAGACCGATGGCTCATGCTCCATTTTTTTAAAAAGTTGCTTGACTTTGAAAACTACCTGCAGCACGAGGTCCAGTAAGTAGTTTAGCAGACTGGCAGGAAAGGAGCATACAGTTCCTGGAAAGCACATCAGCAGAGCGCTGTGGAGTGACACAGCTTTACAAAGGCATGGTGGATGCTTTATTCTGACTTCCTGGCCCTCTTTTCATCCACATCTAATGGAACTGAGGATTTTCTGAAGATTTTTTATTTATTTTTTTTGCTGTACTTGCAAAAACAGTGGAAGCTGAAAACCAAACATTTAAGCTATTCTTTTCCTATCAAATCCCAGGAAACTAACATGGTTTTGCTTCCATCTTAAAGCCAATGAACTGAAATACTGGCTTTATGCTTTCCAGCGGCTTTTTTTTTTCTTTTACATTAATCGGGTTCAAACAAGGTGAATTTATTTTTTCATCATATCTCACTCTTCAGCTCATTAGTGAAATTTCTATATTTGCCAATCCTAACAGAAATATACGCACTTTACATTTAACAATAAAAATAAATGTGTTATAGAGCTACTCATCTCATTGAAGTCCTGAGATTTTTCACAAGAACTACATTGTAGGTGATGAAGACTGTAGAACCCTTGGCTTCAGGCCCCTAAAGCACTGCAGGAATAAATGTTTCCATCTACTGGTGGATAATGTGTATTTCAAGTTGTATTTATTTTCTATTTTATATGAATTTTGTATTTGTGTATGTCAAGTGGACAAGAGCTTCAGAGGTTAAATCACCAGTGAGAGCCACAGCTGAGCTCCGGGCAGGTCTGCCCCAGGGCACCTCAGGCCGCTCAGCTGTTACACAACCAGACATCCTCAAAATGTTCAAGTCAGAATCTCATTCATTCCTGCAGCTCACTCAAATCAGCTGGGTCAGACCAAGCCTGGACAAGGCCTTTGGCAGGATTACATCTACTGTAAGGGGTTCATCTTCAATTAAGCCCACCACCCACTGCAGCACTCTTAAACCCCTTTTTGTACTTTTAATACCGCATCAGATATTTTTTTTTTAATTAACAGCATTGAGTAAACATGGGTGCAGGACACAGTGTTGCTGACTATCACAGCACTGCCCAAATAACTGGGACAGAGAGCTCGGTTAATTATCTTTCAGGTATTAAATGTCTTCAAACTATACAATAATCTCAATAAATAACAATATAATAAAAAAGTTTGTTTATCATGGTGTTTAAATAAAAAAGAAACTCACATACCATATATAATTATCACATACAGAGTAATACAGTTGCTTCTTTAAGTTATTGTATGACTTTTGCTTACAGCTAGAAAATTTAGTTTCACAGAAAATCTTATTTGAGATAAATGAAAATGGGTTTTTTGACAGGAAGATCTGACTGCTGAAAAGCATGTTCATGTAAGCCACACTCCAGTTTTACCGTGTTTCCTTTGCATAGCATACTTCATCAATACGGCATCACATGGAGGCACTAGGCCTGTGGCTCTGCTGCAATGTTAAACTGCATTGTTTTGAGCTTGTGTCACTCATCTTCTGCTTTAAAACACTCCAAAAATTCTCTGTGGGGTTGGAGCTTAGGTGAGTTAGGTTTCCAATAAAGAACAATCGTATCATCATCAGTAAACCGTGTATTTGTTCTTATTTCAGTGTATGTGAGTGCAAGCTGAACATGATGACTTGATGAGATGAATGGAGTCTGGTGTGCAATTGCTTGGTTGAAAAGAAAACCTGCAGCCACACGGCCCTTTCTGGAACCGGTTTAAGAACCCTGTAAAGCAGTAATATATCAGCAGTGGGGAGCATGAAGTGCTTCTTATTGGACTCCTGCTCTCGTGGACTTGATGAAAGTCAGTGGACCAATGCCAGCAGATAGCATGGCTTCCAAAATCATAAGAGATACTATTAATGACAATTTAACTTTTTTGATCCCTCACTGGAGAAATTTACCTCTGCATTTGACCCATACCCATGGGGATGCTGAGGTTGCCACTGTGCGGCGCCCAGGGAGCAGTGTGGGGTTAAGGAGTTGGAGTGCAGGCTGTGGGGATCGAACCAGGTACTTAGAACCTTCTCAGAGGCAGGATTACACTGCTCTAACCCACTAGGCCTATAGTGGGTTAGTCTCTGCTTTGAGAATGCAATATATATATATTTGGACCCCTGTGTGTGTATTCAAGTTCTATTGGGACCCAAAGCACCCGCATAGTCAGCATACAGTATATGGCAAACTCTACAGACAATGAAAAAGTTGAATTGTCATTACCTGGGGGGCAATTGCAGTCAGCTGTGGCTTGTCTTGCAGTCCTTATCTTGACGAAATTCTCATAAGAGCGCTAAAATTGCACAAGAATGTCACTTTTATTTATCTGCATGCAAAAGTGAGACGGAATCATACAGGCAGCAAAAAAAAAAAAAAAAAGTGCAAAGTGAGGTTTACCTGAGAGAGCAGCTCATCCACTCTCTGCTGCACCAGAGAATTGAAATCCTCCATGGAGTATCCGCGGACCTGGATGAAGGTGCGCTCCGCAGCCCCGCTCTCCAAACCAACAACTCGACTCCTGACGTCCGCCGCGCTGATGCTCAGATGGACGCAGAAAGCGATGGATGCCACTGAACATAAAGACGAGATGATGTGCAGAGCTGCGGAGCGATACTGTCGCTTCACCTCTTTCTCCATTTTTTCCTTCTCCCTCTTAATAAAAATTTATCTCCACGAACTAAATGCTCCTCTTCTTTCCTCGATCCACAGAATTCAACTGCGCGATAAAGCGCATCTGGTGCGGAGTCACGAAAGGGATGGCACGCTGCTGCTCTGAATGGGTGCGCGCGTCTGACACAGGGAGAGAGAGACACTGCGACGATGCGTTCACGTACTTTCTGGTGACAGGGTAGGATAGATGAGTGGAGCTCCTGCAAACTTGTTGCACAGTAGCCTGCTGGGGAGGGAAGCTCTTATTACGCACGGTAACCTTAAAGGAGAGACGCGCTGAGAGGGAATGGGAGGCAGTGCGCAAGTTGGAGAGACATCTCCCACTCTCATTAAGGCAACAAACCACCTCCCACCTGCCATGACTTATTAGCATAATTTATTAAACCCCCCTCCCCATTAGGAAGGCTCAGCTGCCATTAGTTGCTGTGACGCGCAGTTATGCTGCTTCTTTCCCTGTGAGATCCACCACTTGTGGAGCTCATTTAGGGCGCTGCGTAAGAATGCTTTTAACGGATTAAAAGTATGGTTCATCATAAGGACTCTAAGTAACACTATTTGGAAAATAAAGCTGAAAGCTTGCGGTTTTTTGCGTAAATGCGCAAAAAAAAAGGAAGCGGACTACAGGGAATTACAGGGATATGCATATTGATATGCAAAGAAATGTTTTGATAAATCGTGAAAAGCTACGTACTTCACGATTAAGCTGATTTTCTTACTTCTTTCGTGATTACATATATGCATTAAGCCCTAATTTAATAATTATATATAACAAATTATCTAGATCTGCCATCAAAAGGCATATGATTAACATAATAACAATGGTCAAATTACAGTCTGTGCTGCATGTTTGCAGATTTCCCATCAATTGACATGTTTTTATAAAAATAAAAAAAAAGAAACATCTGAGCAGCTTATTTAATAGCGTTATAAATACTTGCCACTCTTTGTCGCCATCATCCGGTCAATATCAGTTATAAACGCGAAAGAAGTGATAAAAAAAGAAATAATGTAATAATAAAAATATCTAAATATCAATTAATGTTTAACAGGAAAAAAAACAGTACAACGTTGTGCATGAAGCTTTGAGAAAAATCATCACATGTTAAAAAATCAAATGTTAAAAAGTTTTAATATTTTGTATAGTATTTTTTTTTTACCTTCAAATATCCTGAAGCAAATACATTTTAGAAGAACATGTAAGTGTAATTACAGCTGAAAGCCTTTTGTAATGTGTTTTTATGTGTTGCACATCTATAAAATAAACTCACTGCCCACTCTTGATTGAATAATAACTGAAAAGTGTTTGTGAACTTAGATTTTCAACTCTTACAAAAGATTCTTAAATGGCTTCCTTGCAGCAAGAAGGTTCTGGGTTTGATTCCCAGCCTGGGATTTTTCTGCATGGAGTTTGCATGTTCTCCCTGACCCTGAGCATGCGTGGGTTCTCTCTTGGTACTCCGACTTCCTCGTGCAGTCCAAAAAAACAAAACAAAAACATCATGACTGTTAGGTTAATTGGATTCTCTAAATTCTCCTTAGGTGTGAGTGTGTGCATGGATGGATGGATGGATGGATGGATGGATGGATGGATGGATGGATGGATGGATGGATGGATGGATGGATGGATGGATGGATGGATG